CCACACTTACAATTCAAGGGGGTCCACACCTCCATTCAAAATTTCCAAAAAGGTCTGCACCTCCACTTGATTTTTTTTTTTTAGAAGTCCACAAATGAAAAAAGGTTGAAAACCACTGCTTTAAACTGAAAGTCAATAGACTTCTAATCATCAGAGGAGTGGATGTACAAAAAAGTCTTAACTAGAGCAATCTTTCCTCAGGCTAAATACATGGTGCTGTTGCACCCTTTATCTCTACTAATTGAGTGCTTAGGAAGGAGCCAGGTTCAAGTCCTACCTCTGTCTAATTTGGAGCAAAGATATTATAGAAATATACTGTAATAGCAGTGGGTGCGTCTACACATGCAACTAAGTCAAAGCAATAAACTCCAGAGCTTATTGCACCAGAGTTTATTGCTTCCCAGGCACCATGTTTACGTGTGCACCCAGGCACATAGCATGTTCATCCAGGTTGGAGCAGTGGCATCAATTTTGTTAAAGTTAAGAAAGTCTAAACTATAACAAATCTGTTGCTGTAGATGGCAATCTACTCAATATATAATAAAAAGTTATCACTAGAGAAAGAATACAGACTTTGACTTTTAATTCCTCACTCACAGAGAACAAAGCAATGTGTATTTCCTTTTTTAATCATTTTAATGAAGAGAAGTGATCATTACTTCTCAGAATATTACCAAAATTCAGGCTCTAAAGTAACAGAGCATAATAGGAAGCTCATAACTAAGAATTTGACTTTGTTACTTATTTTGGATTTATCTACATAATACTGTTAGATTTAAACTAGATATGCAAGCTGCAGAAGGCATTCCCTGCTGAATTATAACAATTTTAAGGTATGTCAGTTTTGCGGCCTAAAGTGGTTGGCAGTGCCCCTTTAATTTTTATACATTTTCCCAAGTGTGTACTACAGAAGGCACTCTTAGAGTTTATGACCTAATTTACCTACTTAAAAAAGCCATGGCATTCCCCTTACACTCAGGCAGTTGATGTAAACTAAATGAAATAAAAGGCATGCCATCCTGCTGATACCCTATAAAAGTACAGAGCTGGCAACATTTCTAATGGATTGTTACTAAAACGTTTTCTGAATCAGAAGGAAGAAGGGAGGGGATGGAGATTCCCTCACTAAAACATTTCTTTCTTTCTGTTTTTTTTAAAGAAAAAAATTGGTTTCTATTACAGAAGTAATTAAATGACACTGGCATGAAAAAGTTGAGCCATAGTCTACTGGCAAAATCCTTCACTGTAGTTATGTCAGTGGAGACCATAACACTTTTTTTTCCTTTTTTATTAGTAACATACTTGCACAAGCTGTACTGAACTGCACCAACTTTGTAAATTAAGACTTAAATCCTGACCCAACGGAATCAATGAGTGGCATTCCAGGTTGAAAAAGGGACTAGACAAATTCATGGATGATAGTTCTATTAACAGCTATTAAACAGAGATATTTCCTCTGGCATTTCTAAACCAATGATGGTAGATGCCAAGGAGGATAATGAACTGAGGATGGATCACTCCAGATATATCCAGGTCAATGCTCCCAGAAAAGCATCCATTACTGCCATTGTCAGAGGCAGGATACTGGGCTACATGGACCATCAGTCTGACCCAGTATGGCAATTCTTATATTTTTATGTTTCCTTTATAAATTATTTTGAAAACGATAGTCATGGGATTGTAACTCAGCAAAGCTCTTATGTGCATAATGAAGTGAATAGTACTTGAACACAGGCTTGAAATTAAGTACATTCTCACATGCTTTGCTTAATAGAGGACAGAGCTTTTAAGAATACATGCACGTTCTTTCAGGATTGAAGCCTAGCATATGCCAAGGAGTAGCTTAATGTACAGACATAATGCAACCATTTTAAAATAAACTGCTTATATTTCAAAACAGGTTTGAACAAGTGTAACAAATTTCATATCTTTTAAAACCATTCCAATTAATGTTTCATTTTCTTGCAAATCATTCAGTAATTTTTTTCAGTGCTAAAGAAATGCCATATTTCAGTTTAATGATGGATAATAGTTGAGTTTTTATTGAAAAAGAAGCTTTTCATGGAAGTACTGTCATAATCTTAATTATAATGTCAAGTAACTCATGTCTGTGTTTATAAAGTGATTGCAACTTATTTTGTTCTCTGATGTATTACAATTCTCTAGAGTTCTTAAGGTAAATAGATCTGAAATTTCCTCTAACAGCACAATTCCATTTTATCTATATGGAAAGCTTGACCTTTGATGGAGATACCAGTTATTACAACACTGTATATAATAGACTGACATCATACATAAGTGATAGTATAACTACAGCATTTATGACAAAAATTAAAAGCAACCTATTGCAAAGACAAATCTTAACACCTATTTAAAAATGGAAAAAAAACAGCAGCCCAGTTCAGCAGAAAAAGATAAAGAACTGTTACCAGTCCTCTTGCTCCTCAATGAACTTCAGCAAGGCAACTGAATGAGACTTTTAAGGATGTAAATTATCTATCAAAACAGAAACTAAATTCCTTTAAACCCTGTGCCCTGAATTACTAATCTATGTGGAAAGCTAAATTTATTGCACATGTTTACAAGGAAATAAATGTCAGACAGAAAGACAACCAGGTTAGTATCATTTTTTTTGGTTTGAATTAAACTTCTGAAACAGTTTGATCATAAAGTAAATAGGATTTACAAAACTACTTACAGCTCTCAATCTCCAGTGTGCAATTTTGTTCATCCAGTGGATATCTTCGTAGGTCCATCATACAAGCAGCTGTTGTTGTAATTCTAGAAAGAACATATGAGAGCTTCTTTACTGTTCCCTTATCAAATCTTTGATGAAACATAGCTGGAACACTCCTGCCTGTTTCCTTATTACTAAAATATGGCTTATGCTGATTATTTATAAAGATTAGCACCACTACCAAAACACCTCTAAGAAATCTATCTGATGGCATCCCAGCTCACTGGACAAGTGGTCGGTTTCTATTATACCTCTCACTCCCATCATCAGAGGATCTTCAAGGATCAGAATCTGTAATACATTTATCCTGACAATCCCCTGGAGAGTAGGACAGTATTATTCTCCATGCTTTAAGATGTGGAATGGAACCAAACAGAGATCAGTTACTTGGCAAAGGTCACGCAGAAAATCTAAGGTGTGGTAAAGAACAGAAGGCATGTGGTGGAAATCCTAGATTAAAGCTCTAGCTGCTGGATGGCAAGCCCTCCCTTGTGCAACATGTTCTTAACTGTCGTGAGCAGAACCAAATTAGCATGTTAAAACAGACTGTGCACGAGAGAACAATTACTAAAAATATTTATTGTCTAACAACAGTAGATATGAAAACTTAACACGAAAACTTTGTACTCCTTTTATCTGCTCAATAATGCTCTTAATTGGGACTTATTTTGTTCGGTATGCAAGTACACTAAAATTATTTTCCGGATTGTTTTCACAAAAGAGTTTTAGAGCATATTTTCACCTGCTGATTGCACCAAGCCTACTAACCTTAGCATGTGGAAACTTTTTACATGTCTGTGGAAATATCCATACCATACAGCTGGGTTACAAGGAAGAAGCTTGCTTGGGGTACGTTGAGCTAAATATGAACCAAGACTTACAACATAGAAGCACTGTCTTATTAATGGTTTTCCTTTCAAGGCTTTCTAATGTGGGAGCAAAATCAATTCTTAATCTTTTTTTCCCCCCAAACCATACAATGTTTTACAGAACTCTACTGTACGTGAAAAATGGTACAATTTGGAAACTGCCAATATACAATTAAAATAGAGTATAGTCTATGGACTTTCTAATCTGAGACACCAGAACCCTACATGATAGAGGGATTAGTTTACAGATTGGATATACATTCCTAGAAAAGTTCATAGCTTCCTCTTTCTTGCATAATCTCCTCCTGTAACATCTATTTTATCATTATTTGATAAGAAGGTTTATAAAGAAATAACCAAGTCTAAATCTCATTTAATAGACCTGTTCCTCAATGTCTAATATCAGATTTATAACAAGACTTCCTGGCAGATATATTTTCTACAGTGTCTGTCTGAATCAAGCACAGTCCTTTTCCTCACAGCTCCTTCATGACAACAAAACTATGGATGTGCTATCCCCGTATAAATGACTGAGCATTTAGTCCTTTGGCTGAAGTAGTGGAATATGACAGGCAAGACTTATCTCTGGTATTTTTTAACTCTCACATTCTTGCTTTGCAATCTTAATATTTCTATAACGTAGTCACTTTGTGTGTATGTGACCAATACTACAAGAGTGTGCAGAGACCTCATTTAGGATTAGAGCTCCATGTATCAAATGCTGTATGAAGACATACAAAAACACAATGTCTTACCTCTTCAGAAAGGATATAAAGAAAAAAGAGTGGCAATTAGACCAGAAACCCAACCTAAATAAGGACTTTGATTGGTTTATTTCAATCCCAATTAAGAGCATTATTGGTTATTCTTATCCATCATGCACACCAAACAAGAAAAATTCACCTTAAAATAATTATTCTTTCCTCTCCCATGATTTTGCCCAAAGTTTTATCTTCTTTCCTTTGAAAGCATTGATAAAAATAAATGTTTACCTCTTCAAAGACTTATTTACTTGAACAAAAAATAATAAAATTCTTTCAGACAGCATCCACAAGTGGCACACAACTCATTCTGGTGTTCAAAACTAAATTGAGAAATAAATAACAAGCATTTTCAATATCCCACAGAGTTCAAGACAGAAGATATCCAACTAAGCCTTTAGACAGAGATGAATTAAAATCTGTTCTTTATAAGAGAAACAAACACCTGAAATAGGTACACCTCTCCCTGTAAACAGCAACACTTTGGTCATTTTTACAAATGTAAGCACCAAAGTGCCTAGTGCTTTGAAAAGCACTTGGCGCTGCGAGTCTTGCAGTTGTATAAGTGGAGAAATGTGCGTCAGTGCTGAGAAAGTGGCAGTGGTGCGCTTTTGAACTAAAACACAAAGAAGGTGCTTTAGTTCAAAAGTGCATCGCTGCCATTTTCTGCACGCTGATGCACATTTCACTTATACAACTGCACACAGTTCAGTGCAGTTCGTATCAGCTCGTGTGCAGAGCAGATTCGATTAATTGAGTTTGCTCCGAAGTCGGGGATCTCCAGCACATTGCGGGACAAAAAAGTATGTGTATAAATGTCCTTTGGTTTTCCTAAAACCAACTGGAAAAAAGTTCTAACTTCGTGCCAATTCATAAAATAAATAAAAAACTCAACTTCCTACAGCATAGTCTTGTGAACTGACCACTGACAATAAAAGATTGTCCTCCCTCCCAATGAAACCCACTGTGATTCAATTTATTATGGTCATTAGTAACGATAACCATACACTACATCCTCAAAGAAATCCTGCATGGAAGAAAAACAACATAGAAGGTGTCTAGTAGGTTAACTTTTGATCAGCTTTAATGAAAGACTTTGGTACAAAGGCTTCTGATATTCCAGTGATTAACAACAGAAACAGGTTTCAGCACTCTAGTTTATGATATACAATTCCAATGAAAGATCATTTCAGACCATCCTTAGAAAACTCTTCTATACATTTTTTTAAGTTAAACTGACTAAATAAAATTCTATACAATTACATAAAATACTACACAACAACACTGTATTATGGAGCTATCTGTGTATTGCAATACACAGACATACTGGATTTAGATTCAGAGGGGCAATTAGATATATGTTTATAGGTAGACCATATGAATGTAGAAAGTCTCCCCTTTTCTGTCAGGGCTGCAGATCACTGTAGAGTGCAAAGAAGAACTGCAGGGACTTCTTTTTAGCATGCCTCAATGAAATCAGGGACACAAGGTAGTTTTGGATTTGTTCTGGCCCTTGGTGCAGTCTAGCCACACTCAGGGAAGTAAAACCGAATTCTGATACATTTCCAGAATGCACTTTCCCAAAAGAATGGACCGCTGTGTAGTTCTCCCTTGTCCAAGATGTACGTGATGTTCTGCAAAAACATACCCGGTGTTAAACAGCTACAATGAGGCCCTTCAGTTTCAAGGCTTTTTGCCAACCAGTAACAAGACAGAAATATATAATGCATAACCTTCTGGTAGAATCACAATATTTACTTTTCCTCAATACCATTCAGTTTCCTAGCCCTGCAAACTCCACCTAGGATCTGACAATTGAATTGGGATTTTAATAGTACTGCCATCTTTACAACTAAAGATGGCACTGAAAGTTGGATGGGCAACTCAGTTGACGTGTGAATTAAGGCAGTATCTGACTGCCTCTCATATTTGTATTGACTCAATAGGGCTAACATGAGTAAGCAGTAACTGATCCAGATCATCTCCCCTAACACAAGCAGCTGTGACTCACACACAAAGGAACAGAAATGATGAGCAAGATGGGGACAAAGTTATGTAGTTGCTCTGACCAAAATGGCACTTTTCATTTCTTTTTTTTGGAGAACTATGAAGCAAAGTGAACTATCACACCTGTTTTGAAGCTGACAGGGATAAGTCAAAAAAGCTATTTGAACAGGAAATTGTAGAACAAGAAATCATCCACAGATTGGATTTTGGTAAGCATGTTTTAAACATGGAATATGGATTTTTATCTCATTACCTGAGTTAGCTTTCATGACTCCATTGTTCCTATGGGATTATTCCTTGCTTGTTTGCCTCTCCCAGCACAGCTCCCTTGTACCTCTCCCTTCCGCTTTTTGTATTCGTCTCTCGCCTTCTTATCCATCGGTTTGTGCACATGCTATCACAGCATCTGATGAAGTGAGTGTCAGCCCACAAAAGCTTGTGATACACATACACATTGGATAGTTTAAAGGTGCATATCTACCCTGCCTTCTACTTACATTCAGACTAACATGGCTAATTAAATCGTGATAACATGGATCCCATTGAAAACAAAGGCAAAATCATCATCAGAGAAAAGTACAAGGGCCTAATCTTCCCTCATGTATGCAACTCCAACAACAAGCAAGAGGATCTGACTTCTAATTAGCAATTCCAGTATCAATCCCACAAGACCTTCGATGTAAATTATGTTCCGTAACTGACCATGTCTCTTTATCACAATCCTTATCAAAATCCTTTGTGCATGATAACTAAGAGTCACTGACTCTCTGTCTATCTGAATTAGTTACTGAAGCCATGCACTATAGCTGTGCTCAGTGTTCACTTCTGCTTCTTGGAAACAGACTTGCTGTGCGACAGTTGGAAATGTTGGCAGCAGTAGGGAGCAGACCCAATTACAAATATGTGGAAATCTGGAGACAAAACTGCATTGTGATTAATCTCTCTCCTGTACAAGGATATCAGCTTTAAAGAGACATGATCAAGGTTGTTTGAAACAGCATTTGACCTACTTTAAATTAAAATATATTTACTAGGTGCCCCAAAATCTACAGAATCTGCTTTTCTTCTCCTCTTGCCACCAAAATGAAAGTGCTTCTCCTATACAGTGATGGGGTAAGGGCTGCCTTTAGCAAAACATAAATAATAGTGACATTTGTACAAGTATGTTCATAAAGCAGAACATTCTGTAACTGGCGACAGGAGATATAGAGCATATGCATTTTGCTCTCTATAGTATAGCTTTATGAAGAAAACAGCAGATGAAATTACTGATAGCAAATTGAGAGGCAATGAAGTTTCTAGACTATTACAAAAGGTAATAGTCAACCTAGCTTTGTCAACCTAGCTTTGCTGCTAAGGCTTCATGACTATCCTGGCATAGACAGTCTCCTAAGCTATTTTCCATTC